TGGTCAGGCATTGGAACAGGCTGTCCAGGGAGGTGGTTGAGTCCCCATCCCTGGAGGTGTTTAAAAAATGTGTAGATGTGGTACTTCAGGATATGGTTTAGCAGGCCTGGTGGTGTTAGGTTGACGGTTGGACTTGATGATCTTGGAGGTCTTTTCCAACCTATGACTCTATGAAAATAAACTGCTAGTCAGACTGCTCTAATTGACCCAAGCAGTGCAAGTTCCCTGTAGAAAACTGCATCAAGAAAATGCATATGTAGTTTTCATACCACAGTGGATTCAGACTGTGCTTTCTTAACACCAAGTATAAAACTCTGCATACTTATAAAGAATCCACAAATCACACACAAACTGACAAACTAACTTCATATAGTGATTTTCAATTTTTTTAGTTCTACATTTTGACTGAGAAAGGCATCAAACTTCTGAAATTAAAAACAGGATATAAAAGATGAGTAGATATGAAAGCATCTATTCAGCTACACAGAAGTGTACAAGTCACAAGAAACTGGGAGTATGCAATGGTACTATCCAACAAGAGTTTCTACTTGGAAAGACTCATTAAAGTAGGCGCTGTTGTTTCATCTGCTATTAGAAGACTGACTTTGGCTTGCAGTTTTTGGTTTGATTTTAAACCAGTGCATATGACTTCCTGCAGAAGGAAATAAAAATACAGTAATGAGATTCCAGTAAAAACAAATTCAGGATGTGAACAAAGCAGACCTCAGTTAGCTCTAATCAGTACAGCTGCAGTGCCTATAGCAGAACTATGTTAACATACACCAACCCACTCCCTCCCAGCGAGTTCCCACCTCACCAAGATCCCAGTTCTGTTTACACCAACAGCTGCACCATGATGCATCAAACCTGAATTTTTGTAAAGAAACTTTATCCCTATGACACATTGGCTAAACAAAGTTCAGAAGCAGAAGCTACGTTATTTCCTAGGTATGAAGTAAAAAATTTTAGATCAAAGAAAAGATACTCTTAACTTTTTTCCTTAAAAAGTTTTTCTTCCCTTTGACTAGAGCTTATTTCCCTCATTCCACCAGATCTTTTTCCATTAACTGCCTTTAAGATTTTTTGAGTTCATTCTTTAAATTTTGTATAGTTTCAGAATTTTTGTTGGCCTTCTTGTTTCCTTTTTTTTTTTTTAAAGGCAAAAAAATTACAGTTTCTCCTTGAGGCCACTCTTAGTGACATGTTTAAAGAATGCCAGCTGAATTAGGTTCCTAGTTTGTCCTTACCAGACTTAATCACTAAGGGTGTTTTGTTTAAGATAATGTTGTAAACAAAAGACAATCTGGAAAAAAGCAAATATACTGACACCCACTAGGAATAGGGTGAGGGAAAGGGGAGCAGCACCACATGCTAGAATAGCGTTTTGCTCTATACAAGAGAATCCCAACATTATCAAAATTTAATCCTCAAATAACGTAATCCATTAGAAATCACTACCCTAAAATGCACTAGAAATTGATTCTGTAATACACATTCAAAATGCACATGTAATGCAATAATTGAAAAGCATTATGTAATAGTAAATTAGAAGGAAGCAACTATGACAACCAGTCCATCCAGCACAGACAAAACCCACTAAGTCAAGCATCAACGTTTACAAAAATTCTTCCTCCCAGTTATTTTATATAAGCTTTTTCATATACTGAGGTTGTCTATACGGAAACAGCAAGAAAACATATTTATTTAAACACATTCATTAATTTGTCACTTCTTCCTCATTAACACAAGTCAAGAGGGGATGATCGGGACTGGAAAAATGATCTTAAGATACTCTATGCTAGCCATCCCTTAAAACCCTGGGAAAGCCTTGTGACCTTGCCACAACAGTGGAGGAGAATACTATTTCCTGTTCTCTGAACAACTCCTTCATTATTTACAGTCTACAAAAACTGGAGTTTTGGTCCATGATTAAAAAAATGCTGGCAAACACATGGGCTAGAAAGGATACCTGATTAGAAATTCATGCATGGGGCGGCAAGGAATGACTGAGTCAGATGGGCACATTCATTTGGAGTTTCTTCCAGAGGAGATACAAAATGCAGTAATAACATCCCACCCCCATATTGCCATTACTATAATTAATTTTAAGATTGAAACCATTACTATATGATTGAACAAGGAATGTGAACTAGATGAGCTCTCAGGGCTCCTTGCAATCCAATTTCTTTTGCTAACTAAAAATAACAGATTGTGCAAGACACCATTTTTATTCCTTTTATCATCAATATATTTAGTATACGTGAGAACAAACATTTTGGTGCACAACCCAGTTAAAAACCTCACCATTCTAAAGGACTGCTTCGTTAAGTAAAATTTATCTTTATACATTAATAAGAGCACAGGAATAAATAGAGCAGGGGGAAAGTTCAAGTAGTACAATATTTAAAAATACCGAGTTGCTTCATTCTGTATTACGGAATGTTATTTGTGCAGTACACTTTACTATCAAGGGTCTAATTCCACCCTTTAACTGAGAAGAAGATTGACTTAACACAGAAGGAAATGTAGGCAAATCACCTGGAACCAGAAAGGGCATCTTATGGTTACTGAATCCAGACACTGGTCACTGCAGTCATTTATTTTAATCTTATTGATAAACTTACTCAAGTTTGTCTTTAAATCTGAGTGATTTCTTTGTGAAAAGCAATGACCAAAGACGTACCAAAAAGCTGCAGTTTTGTCATTTAAACCCAAAGGCTATGTTTTACATAAGCCAGTATACTTCCCAGTTTGAAGTTTACTTTTCCCTCTAGAACATGAGCTGAGCTGTCTCTCAAAATCAAAATATTTCAGTTTGTCAAAGGTACAGCAACATTGTTTCAAAGCTCTTAACAGAGGAACAACTAGCATACAACTGTCAGCTCAAGAAAAACAATGTAATAAATCTTATGAAAATAAATAGAAAAGAGAAACTATTTACATACCTATGCTTAACAGCTGCAAATGGGTCTGTAGTTTTCCAAGGTACTTCAGTGACAAGTTTCCTGACACAGTTCAGATCTCTTGAACACCATAGTCATGCACAAAGAGCTGCTGTTTCTCATCTACAGGTCGTATCAGCAGAGAAAGAAAATAAAAACTAAGTAAGGGTAGTTCAGAATAATAGCTCTAAAAAAAAGCAAAGCTGCCAGCCCCACACAACCACACTACCCACCTAATTACATTCAGCTGCCTGTCATGTGGTCTTGCTGACTGATCAAGTGATCTCTTTTCCTCCTTTGAGAACTCAGCAACACAGTGAACTAGATCTCCCTAAACCAGGTAACAAACATTGAGCCTTTGCTAAAACTACTGACCCTCCTCCTTCTTGTCAAAGGGAAAGGAAGTGGCAGTATGTTTCATGACAACATGAAATACAGTAAACACAGTATTCTACTATAATGAAACACTGCGAGCACCAAAAGCTCCCACAATCTAATGGAGTTTCGAGTTTTGAGCCTGGTTTTATTTTAGTTCTTTACAGATGGCAGAAAAAGTTACCGATAACAAAACTGGCACAGACACCAGAGTGAGACCACGTGAGAAGGAGGTGGAAGGATTTGGGAGGTCAGTGGCGACAGCACTGCAGCGCTTTGTGGGCATCCACATCCAGCCTCTTCTGCTGAGCCACATCTGGTGGCAACAAGCGCCAACAACAGAGTAGAGTTAAGATGTGTCAGAAACTTCCTGAATGACTGCAGCTAAACCTGCAAGCTGCCCCTCACCCCCCAAATCCTAAGAGACACATGCACACATTTTAAATGTTTAAATAAATTGAAGGAAATAAAGATACTGATTTAACATGTAAACCAAGTCTTCCTCAACAGCGAGTCCGTTCACCAGGGCCTGTTAACACAGGCACCCAACAGGCAAGATTTCACACCTATGGCCAGATTACGTCACCGGTGCCCACACCACGGCACTCACTGGACAGCAGGCCCTGCGCTGCGGCCAAGGGATGAGGGGAACGACGCAGCCGCCTGCAGTCACCACGAGGCCTCGCCTCCTCTCACAAACGCCTGTGACATTACAGATGCTAACCACAGAGGACTAAAAGGTGTGGACAAAAGGAGTTCTGCACTCACCATGCAAGACTTAGCAAATGCAAGCTTTTACCAAAGGCGAGTTGCCTTGCACAACCCTTTCTTGTCTCAGTTTCTTTCCTCCCAGTGTTTCAAGACCTGAGAAGTAAGAAAGCAAATTAAGAAGGTTTCTAAGACTACTACCCAGTCTTATAATTTAAGAAGTGCTGCAGACATTCTGCTACAACATTTAATGCATTCTTAATGCATTCGCCTACCAGTAACGAAAACAACTCCACAAGCTCCTTAATTCACTTGTCTCGACGACCTAACCTCCTTTCCTGCAAATCAAGGCAATTTTTATTGCCCCTTCCCCAGTGAACATCAAAGTTCTGTTCTACAGAGCTGGCAAACAACTGTGAAGCGCTTTTTCATGGCCTGCCTTAGCATTTTTCCAGATTCAACTAAAATCCATTTCTTTGGCATTTTGTTACAGGCTATAATTTTTAAAACTCTACCCATTCTTGGCTCATTCCAATTTTCTATAAATTTCACCACAGTTTCAGAAGAATATAGAAGTCCCTTTTTCACTTCCACATGCAATTAAAAAAAGTTTGTGTTCAATTTTCAGCAACATGAACATTTTTGATCTTTAACTGCTTCCCTGATTGATAGCAGCACATTTGCTTACTGTGAAGAAATATTCAGACCACAAGCACCGAAGAATTTCTGGTAACTGCTGCAGAGCGCAGAAGGAGGAACACGGTAAGAAGTGTTGACAAAGCAACAAGTATTTTGCCGTGTTGCAAACAGCCGTGGGGAGTGGCTACACATGCTTAAGACAAACCGCCTGTCTGGAAGTCTCAACCAGTGATGTAAACTTCAAGCTCTTCCACACAGCAAGATTTTTGCCATCTTTGATGGGAAAGAAATTCATAAATCATTTCCAGACTTCAGCTTTTGATTTCAGGACAAAATGAGGGTTAACTTTCCTCTTACCAACCTGGTGTGAGGAATACCAACCAATTTTCACTTCCCCCTTCCAGCAAAAAGTTTTATCCAAAACATTAAGACTTTGCTAGGAAGGTACAGCTGAAATAAAGCTTATTTTCTGAGGGTGAAGTTACACTGATTTCAAACTGCAGAGTTACTACCAAAACAGAAGGCCCCAGTTTACAAACTGGGAGGACATCAATGTTTGGTTATTTAAAGTATCTGTTTTTAAATAAACACATTTACAGCATCTCAGCAAATGCTGCACAAACAGCTGAGCCAACCATACTGTGGTGGCAGGAAACACACACAAACGACACAGCAGCAGCTGGAACAGGAACCCCTGCAGCCAGCCCAAGGTAAGCCTTCCTCTCGCTGCCACCCAAATCTCTGGGGGTTATAAGGGCTTGGACATTTTCTACGTTTATGCAGGGGATCCAAATTACACCAGGGAAGTCCTTACACTGTGAAATGTAGTTTTGAAGCTCCAGCTCTACAAAGGAATGGCCACCTATTTAGTTATTAAATCTTCCCACCAGTTTTATGAACAGGTTGTATGAACAAGATGACCCGAATGCATGGAATTTATGGCCTTCTTGTAAAAATAATCTATGCTATACAGTCCTAAGAATTTAGGAGGAAATCTGAGGAGAGTCAAACACAATGAACAGTGTGGAGCACTATTCATCACAAGCATCAGAATATTTGCCTTCATACATTCCATGCTTGAGACAAGCTGCAAGTGTCCAAACTGTCCTGTAGCAGGAGTTTCCTCTAGCAGAAAATGCTGCATTGTTACCTGTCTGACCATGGTTTGTGCAGGAATTAAGATGTCTGCCACTGGAGACAGAAACGGGGGAAGAAGAGGATCTAGCAACAGTCCATTTCAGATAAAGCTCCAGAACAACTCATCTGTTTTCAAAGCCAAAATTTGTGAACTTGCCTAACATCAGTGGCAACTGCCTCCACACTCCCCATTTCCCAGCTACCCAGTTCTGCTGGAGGTCTCCTCTTCAGCACTCTGACCAGTTAATGGCTTTTTCCAACACACGCTAAAAACTCACCATGCCCTTACCAACAGCCACAATTTTCACACATGTATTAAACAGATGACCTACAAGACTATGGAATGAAAACCAACCAGCAGGCAGCCAAGGGTCATTTGTTAGCATCCACAAATGTTATCTGTGCCACAAAACCTCTACTAGCAATCAAAGAGGAAACTTAAAAAAATGTAAGAGGATGAAAAGCAGCCACTGGGACATGCTGCCCATGAACTGATTTGTATATATGCTGGCGAGCTTCAAGAAGAGCCAGAGCATATACTATACAGCAATTATTTCACAGTGAAAGAAATATCCTACAAAGAGAGGTGAGAAAAAAGTAAATAGGCAAAATATGAATATATGCCTGGTACAGGCACATTCCTACAACTGTAGAATAATATTATAGTTGTTTCCTTGGAAGAAAGTCAGCTTCTCATGAAAATACACTCTGGAAAAAAATAGTGGGGCTGATGGGTACTCCACAATGGAAAACTGACCAGCTGTCATGTGAATGAGCTTGCTGCTTACTGCTGCAGTAGTGCATAACTGCAGTAACACGCCAATACCTCAACACAGAACTAAGACGACACAAAGTCCTTTATATTGATTTTTTTTCTGCTTTCCTCTCAGCAATACCCCTACAAGAAAAAAAGAAAGAAAAGACAACCCACACTCAGATCAGCTTTCACACCAGAAATGCAACAGCTGAACTTTGCCAGCATCAAATCACCAAATACCCCTTCAGTGATTAGAATGAAAGTAGGTCACGCAGGCCTTCCTGCTACCCAGAAGGCACATCTGCTAAATATCTAGTAAGACTATTGATTAAAGTAAAACTTCCATGTTTTGTTCTTTCAACTATAAGCCAACCTAGGCAGTTTCTAGTAATGGCGACAGAGCTTTCTCTTAGCATTGCAAGAGATCAAGTACTGGTATGTTTAAGGTCAGCGGCATTTTACACAGAAAAGATCTTCTTAAAAATAGTCCCCTCTAAGAAAGGCTCTAGACAACTAACTTCCAAGAGTTACCAGGATCTCTTCAGGAATAAAGTTAACACTAAAATAATTGACAAATTAAAAGCATCAACTTCGTTTTCATGGAACATCATGGTGCCTAAAGACAGGAATCCCTCCCAGTAATTGGGTACTCAGCATCAGCACTTTGGAAAACTTTACACCAAACTCTGTCATCTTTTTCAAAGGGAAAACATCAAAAGATTGCTTTCCAAAATAAAATTTGCTTATATTTGAAGAACCTGTTAGTACCTCAGAAAAGACTAGTAAAAGTATCCCAAACCAGCAGATCTAATTACTTGGTCAATTTTGTTGAACTACAAGTTTACTGTCTCCACATCCCTTTCTGTTATTGTCAGTGTAGGCACAGTTTATCCTGAGGCAAAGCCAAGAGCGTAGGCGCTTGCTCCAGCTATGAATGAAAAGGGCAAGAAAAAAAATTTTAATTCATGAATCTGGTTCTCTCTCTGTTATTACAGCTCTGAAATATTAGAAAGAAAATAACAGAAAAAAAATATAGTGTCCACGTACAAGGTGTTAAGACACCAAGAAATGGTGAATAAAAAGTTCTATTTAAAACAGCAATAAAATAAATTAGTGAAAGAACAAACATTATTCATTTTGACTGAAATGAACAAATTTGGATCTTTTGCATGTAGGAAATGATATTTTGGCAACATTCACACAATTCAAATTACATCATCTGTACTTAAAAGAGGAATAATTAACCTACAGACAGATGAATTACTCAACAAGCTACAGCTCTTCTCTAAGACTTACGTTGGTTCCACATTTTGTAAAACTCGTGAAGTGGGTGCCTGATTGCATCAAGAGAGCACCTAGAACAGTAATGCACACAGATAGAAGCGTCCCGGCATTTTGGTAACAAGCTGTAAAAGCACGATAATAATCTGATGTCTCCATCTTCAGTCTGCAGAGTTACAAATCTCATTTTAGATCAATGATTTTTATCTACATATTAAAGGGGTTGATGACTAAGTGTATTTTTTTTAATTGAAAAACATAGTAGCTTTACAGGAAGCTGTTGTACCAATGTAAAGGAACATGTGCACTACAGCTTCCTTAGAAAGGATTTTTAATGTTTTACAATCCTACAATATCAACACAGTTTTGAAAGTTGCTTTGATATTTTTATTCATGCTTAAGCTTAATCGATATGCATTTGTTCTTTGCACTACCTGATCCAATATGTCATTGACAAGTAAAAGACACTTGCTTGATAAACTGATCTCACCAGAGTTCCAATTTGGATGCAGCTGGGTTTTCCTTCCAGCACAAGATGACCTGTTTATATCTTTTGTAAATCTACGTAATAGGACAAGTGGTCCTTCATCCTCCTCAAAAGCTGACACCGGTGTCTTTTATACTTTAAATTTGCTCTTGGGAGGAAAAATTGGAAGGCTAGTTATTTGCACTATTTGAGAGATACAGAAGTACGTCCCTCCTGAGCTACAGTGAAGTATTCCTTTTGTCCTATATTATTGTCCGATCTTCCATGCAGTGAGGCATATGAAACCTAACTAAACACCTGTGATGCCTATTTTCTTCATCCACCATTTCTTAAACCATGCACATCATTAACATTAGAGCTCCTTCATTCTCACATTTATTCAGTGAGTCCCTAAGTTAAGTATAACTAACCCGACTGGTTGATCTTATTTCCTTCAGAGTGCAAGAGGAATGGGTGGGCTTGTAAAGGTGGTGATTCTGGAGTACATTACCAGAGTAGGTCTTTCAGTTCCATCAGCCTTATTCCATCCCTTATGCAACTCCCAAATATGAAAACTGTTACTGCTCCCATTCCTCATGATCCCTCAGGATGCCAGGCAGAAGAAAAATTCCCTAAGGTTCAGGACAGCACACTGGATATTGCAAATGCAATAAGGACTTCTTGGAGCAAAGCTCCAAATTTGCAATGCAAAAAGCAAAGCTGAAATGAGGACATGCCTCTTAGTCTGGTTTGCTAAGGAAACACAGCCTTCCACCTTCTCTGGGTAGAGGAGGGGAGAGCAGTGGCTGTTGTCTACCTCAACTTCAGCAAGGCTTTTGACACTGTCTCCCATTACATCCTCCTAGGGAAGCTGAGGAAGCATGGGCTGGATGAGTGGTCAGTGAGGTGGATTGAGAACTGGCTGAATAGCAGAGCTCACAGGGTTGTCATCAGCGGCACTGAGTCTAGTTGGAGGCCGGTAACTAGCGGTGTTCCCCAGGGGTCAGTACTGGGCCCAGTCTTGTTCAACTTCTTCATCAATGACCTTGGTGAAGAGTTAGAGTGTACCCTCAGCAAGTTTGCGGATGACACAAAACTGGGAGGAGTGGCTGATACACCAGAAGGCTGTGCTGCCATTCAGTGTGACCTGGACATGCTGGAGAGCGGGAAGCAGAGGAACCTGATGAAATACAGCAAGGGCAAGTGCAGGGTCCTGCACCTGGGCAGGAACAACCCCATGCACCAGTACAGGCTTGGGGCAGACTGCTGCAGTGTAGCTCTGTGGAGAGGGACCTGGGAGTGCTGGTGGACAACAGGTTGACCATGAGCCAGCAGTGTGCCCTGGCTGCCAAGAAGGCCAGTGGAAGGCCAGTGGGATCCTGGGATGCATTAAGAGGAATATGGCCAGCAAGTCGAGGGAGGTTCTCCTTCCCCTCTACTCGGCTCTAGTGAGGCCCCATCTGGAGTACTGTGTCCAGTTCTGGGCTCCCCAGGTCAAGAAAGATGAAGAGCTACTGGAGAGAGTCCAGCGGAGGGCTACGAGGATGGTGAGGGGACTGGAGCATAGGAAGAACTTCTTCACTCTGAGGGTGACAGAGCACTGGAACAGGCTGCCCAGGGAGTTTGCGGAGTCTCCTACTCTGGAGGTATTCAAGACCTGCTTGGACAAGGTCTTGTGCAGCCTGCTGTAGGTGACCCTGCTTCAGCAGGGGGGCTGGACTAGATGACCCACAGAGGTCCCTCCCAACCCCCACCATTCTGTGATTCTCTCCAGACATTTGAACCTGTTGATCAGTTTTAGCTCTCCTTCACAGAGAGGAAGAAGCCACCAATATATGAAGTTCCTATACACTTCGTGAAAAATTGGCAGCTGGATAAAGGAAAGGTCAGATGCACACCTCCACTGGAAGCTGGCAGTTACAGTTTTTCAGTTCTGTAAGGGGCACCCACTAGCTGGCCAAGTTGCACATGCACTGCTCCATCCTAGCCGCAGCACATACTGTGACAATCATTCAATTTTACACTTACTTTCAATCTGCATTTAAAGACATTTCCTATTTAAAAGCAAATTAAATTTACACACTTCTATTATTAAAAATAAAAAGTTAACAGAAAAACTAGTTGAGCTTCACTGCATTAGCAGTTCAAATTTTGGGGGTTTTGTGTTTTGTTTTGGTTTTAAACCTACTAAAAAGCATGATTCTGCTTTTACAGCACATTCTTTTCATAGGTCTTCCAAAGCCTGCTCTTCAGCTTCTACTGACACACAGCAGGATCGCAGACCCCATCCTGTACATTTGGTGCTATATCCAATTCTAGAATTCTAGAAAACTATCAAATAAAGACTTATATCACTTATTCTACTTCATAGCTAAAGAACATAAAAAAAACTACTACTTTAACAACTCCAACTCAGGGCTACATTTATCCAAACTTAAAATTATGAGAGTTTTGCTATCAAATTCAGAAGAAATACCATCACATTCAGACAGTACTGTCTTCAAACTTGGATGACGCCATCTCTGTACAGAGATGTCTATCCTGACACCATTCTAATGCAAGAAAGAATATGGGAAAATTAAGTATAGCCAGACAGTTCGTGTCCTAACAGAAAAGACCTGTCAAGTTGAATCATCGTTAGAGGAGAAAGTCAGTGAAGCATATGCCGTCACATGCACAGGATCTTAAAGTGCTGGATGAGAAACACTCTGTTGCAAGTGGATGATAACAGCAGGGCTAGAAACCTAACCCGATACCTGTGTTTTGGGTCACATTCAGTCATGCACGAAGTTTGGTACCAAACAAGTATGGGGAGGGGAATGATGATTAACATCTGCAATTACAAAAAAAAAAAAACCACAACCACAAACACACACAAAAAAACCGCCTCCATCCTACTTTTTGCTATAATCCACATTCTGAATGTTAGCTAGGCTTCAAAGATGACATGGAAAGCACTAGCCATTGGCAGTAACTATAACAGCAATTCATCTCTCACGCAAACCTTACATAAAACAGTTTCACAGCACAAGCAGCTCCTACAACTGCTAGCTTTGAGTGATATCCTAAAGTTTCCAAAATGCATCACACTCTGTGTTAGTCATGCAGTTATCAGCAGGGATTTGCAGAAGGAATGTGATTTTCTTCAGCAACTACTAATATGACACATTATACTTCCAAGACCGGCAGAGACACACAAGAAAACCATAAAACTTGTAATTTTTTATCATAAAAATTAATCAACTTGTCTTTTCCTCCTACCCAACAGGTCTATTAGTCCTTATCACTAATAGCAGCCTTCAGTCTAGTCCAAATATTCCTGTTCCCCAAGGATGTTATTGGAAATAATTGTTTTCTTCCTTTTCCGTTTATAAAGGAACTTTTTTCCTTATAGTTCTTTGACCGAGCAGCTAAGACAACCAAACCAAATATCCAGCAGTTATGAAAATAATGAGATAGGCCCTCAGAGTGAAACTTGGTTGGCTTTAGACAGTATATGCTGTTCACTTTCATGGCTGTGTAGCAGCTACCATGACAGCACTGCCATTTTGAAGTGTTTAATTAGAAATGGGAGGATACCTTTAAAACAGCAGTACTTCTGCAAGAGAACCTTCATCACGTCCTAATGACATACACTGCCCCATGGGTTAATGTGCTTAACAGAAGTACTATAAAAATCGTGTATCAGTTTTCAATTTTATTTTGTATTCTGCTGTTTCTAATTCAAACCTGAAAGGGGCTTACATACCTGAAAGCTCACCTACCCTTTCCAACAACGTAAGTTGGTCTAATAAAAGGTATTACTTCTACACATGGAGCTCACATGACCTGAAGGGAAAAAAACTGAATATTGAGCATTACTTAACTATTTTGCTATTTATTCCTTCTTCCTTTCACCACCTGTTCAGCTGATAGCTGTACACACAAGCAGTAAAATGGCCAGCTGCAAAACTGCAATCACAAACTCCAAAGTTAACCTGGAATCACCTACTTGATTTATGTAGCAGTTGTCCTTATACCCATCTAGTGTTTTATTTGCATACAAAATATTTCAGTTAGGTATGCTCTTTACAGTCCTTTCATTCACATACCTCTTTTACACAAAGAATCACTGCAGAAGTGTACAGTGATTTTCAAAACACTATTTGCAAGTGCCCACAAATTTGACTTTTAATTTAAAGACACTGTTCACATATCTACCAGCTCCCTTCTTCCACTGCAAACTATAAATTTCTAGAAAAGCTGTACTACTCCTGCTAAGCTTGTATCTTCATTGCTGCTTCCTGCCCCTTCCCTTACTACCAGTCTTCATACCGTCTTTCAGAAGTGCCTTTATCTAATATGGTTCAGTCTTATCCATTTCTCATCAGTAAAAGTATCAGACATAAAGAAGGGGAACAGCTATGGGAAATAGGTTTGCAAACTCAGGAAAACAGCACTGCATTGGCTTACACTTTGATATTATCCTCAGAGCTGTAAAAGCAAGGACACTTGCTTTTTTTTTTTTCTTTTTTCCTTCCTTGCAGTAGTTTAAAATACTGAAGAACTTGTCACGTCAGCTCCCAAGCAGTGAGTGGAATCCTTTTCACATATTCACACAATGCTCGGTACTATGCAAAACTGTCATACATATATGAGAGTATTTTCAAGCCCCTGAAGCCACAGCAACATCAGAGGAAAATACTATACTGGTTTTATGTCATATTTTAATCTATATGCCATGACTTAATCTTCAAAGCTTATTAGATCAGAAACTAAATCACAGACCTTGAGACTACTTATTACAATAATCAAAAGCAAATTCTGTTGTATTATGTATGTTGTATATGAAAACAAAAGAATATAAGGATGTTCCAGGAAATAAATTAGGGACTAGGACTTCTCATTCACTATGGCATTACCTCCACTGGAGATAAAATGGTGTGATCTCAGCTGATCTAATGTGGTTCAAGTTAGTCCTGCCTCCTGACAAGAGATGCAGTTTTCAGACTAAGAAGACCAAAAAAGAAATGCGAAAAAGAAATCTCATAACCAGACGCTATTCCCCGAGAAAGACTGGTTGGGAATATACTTGTATAAATAGAAAAAAACGCGTGTTTCTGCTACAAAAAGCTGCGTTTCAGAGAAGTATTTCTTAAACCATGCTGTACTTTAACAACTTTTCAGCTACATTCGAAGTCGTTCCGTAAACATGATTGTATCTTCAGCATGAGTGGTATCTGTAAGACAAGAGGAGTGAAAGCAAGTCCTTGAGCACTTGACATCCCCAGCCCAGCAAATGCTTGGCTATAAACACGTAAGTAACCCTTTGAAACTACTGAAGAACAAACTTAACTATCTGCAGGATCAGATCACAGGTGCAGTGAAGTATAGTAATGCAGCTTTAACAGAGAAGAGAGTATTTGACGATTAATTGTTTAAATAATAAGTTTAATACATTTTAAAAGCACCTTATTATAATTATTTGCTGAGACATTAACAGGGGAAAAAGAGTTTTCGTTCCTTATATTCCTTCTCTGGTGCCATTTTTGCCTGTTTCTAAATTAAATTCTCACTAGCCCTCTGTTGACTTTGATAGGCTGCTCTTAGTAATGGCGTTGATCTGCAGGTCCAGGGTTATGCTGAAAACTGACAGACTAATCAGTGGTCATTATGCCAGCACAGCAGATACCTGGCAGCGACAGAACAACCAAGAATCCCAAGAAGATACACAAGGATTACTGCTCATAATAGTTGTTTCTGTAAATGCGAAAAGCTACTTTAAAATTCTTTTATCTCACCAATCTTCTCTTTGAAAGAAAAGGAAATGTGTAGTCAAGTGATAAAATATTGTGTTCCCATGTTTCATGATAGTGATGAAAACAAACTTACAGTCTGATTTTAGATATCTGGTTGCAGATGAAAAATTTTATTAACTGTAAAAATAAAATAGCGCAAGTTGCAGCACATTGTCCCCACCCAGAACTCCTTTGTGCAAGGCATTAAGTAGATTTAAAATTAGAACTATGAACTAGAAACACAGGAACATGCTGTTCTTTCTTCCATCTTTTTACCCATGCTTCTGAGACATCCGTTTAGCATCACAAATACTATTCCTACAATTACACATCAACGTTTGAAATGCATATTGTATTATATGCTTTTCCCTGGCTGGAAAATACTTAGAACAGTCACAAAGGTAGTGTAATTCTATGGAAAGAAACAAAGGCTGAGAAGACAAGTCTAGGTAAGAATAAATTTCCAAGAAAAAGCAGACAGAATAGATTTAAGAAACTGATTAGTACTGCTGATGCAAATAATGTGCAGAAATCAATAAACATTTTGTAGAGTTTCAACAAAAACTGTGAGTATAGAGAAACATCACCTTGCCAGCAAGACCTCCCAGAACTCCTAACTCCAAACACGCCTTTGTGTTACCCTGACGAAAAACTCATAAGCACCAGTCATGGGGGAAAGTGTCTGAGGAGTCACACAATCAGAAAGCTCAAAATACACCTGATGCATCTCTAAGGCGAGATAAAAATTGAAGTTGGGTGTTTCTGACAGTTCTAGGCATGCCCTTTATACTTTGCTAGCACCATAAAAAAACCCCAAACCTACTACTTATGTATTAATATAACCTAGTTACTTACAGAGCTGGAAAAACCAATATGTTTTTCTGATGAATTTAGGACGAATTTACAGCCGAAATGCACGTCTCGAGCTGTGGGAAACCTGCAGGTGAGGGCCTGGCAGGGATTCCTCGTGCCGCCGTGAGGCCGAGCGAGCGCAGGGCAGGCGAAGGCCGAGCCCTCAGACCGAGCCCCCAGGCCCCTCCTTCACCCCCAGGCC